AACAACAACAATCACCGGCAGAACAAGTACCAAGGACAGCAACCGGTACCACCGTTTTGTCATCTCTGCAAGACGTCGGGTCACCCCCGCACACACTGCCCAAACCGGCAACAGTCAACGCAGCGGCAGCTTCGACCTTCAAGCAGTCAAGTAACATCCACGCAGGCGCACCCCACAAGTCAGCCGCAGTCAACAACATCACCAACACAACCTGCATAAGGAGCAAGAAACATCGTCAGTTGCATGGCAAGACTGTCTGATTCCTGCATCACTGAATCTCCGCCACATTACTCACCGGAAGAGCAACTCGACAACAGCACTCCTCGCCGCGAATCATTTCAACCGAACCCAACGTACGCAGCCATCGCCCAAAGCGAACCATCCGAGAAGGATACTTGGTTCTTGGACAGTTGCTGCGGGCAGCATATGTGCTCCTCAGGTCGCTTCGTTCAACGGGAATACCAACTTCAACGGGAAGTCGTGATCACCGTCGCCAACAACCAGAACCTGCGCACACGACGACAAGGCGTGGTTCAACTTCAGTCACGGGAAACGAACGTTATACTACAGATGTCAAAGGTTTTAATAGCAGAAGGACTCGGCTACAACTTACTGAGCGTCAGTCAGCTGATGGCGAAAGGCATCCATCTCGAAGCAGACAGCATCACTCAGGAGTTCAAGCTGTACCACGGGAGAGGCAGACTTTACATCGGGAAGGCGGTCCTGAAGAATAACGTCTTCGTTCTCGACTTCGTTCCAGATTTAGGCACCGCCGACAGTGACGGAATCGTCACCTTCACCTCGTGGATGCACCCACCGGATCTTGATCCTGACTTCAGCCCCGAAGGCTTCTGGTATTCGCACACCATTCCTGAGGCAGAACGAACAAGAGCATTAGCAACGATTCAACACTCGGCAGCAGTAGAGACAACACCGGCAGAAGCAGAGACAATACCGGCAGCAGCAGAGACAACATCGGCAGCAGCAGAGACAACATCGGCAGCAGCAGAGACAACACCGGCAGCAGCAGAGACAACATCGACAGCAGCAGAGACAACATCGGCAGCAGCAGAGACAACATCAGCAGCAGCAGAGACAACATCGGCACCAATCGCGGGTTCTTCAACTGCACCAGCCTCAATCGACGACAACACTCCACCAACTCCTGCGCAGCAACTGAATCCAGCACCACGAGAAGTCCATCGAAGCGCAAATTTCACCGCAGGCTTCTACTCCAACTCCGACCTATACCGTCGCTCACCTGGACATCGAGCTGGCAAAGAATCTGGCATGCACAAATGGGACATCCAAGCAACACAGTGTTGAACAACACAATCAGAGCAGGCGTGCTCGACAAAGACTCACTGCTTCTAACCGACGGAAGCGAACTTCGACGAGCTCGCGGAACGTGCTTTACATGCCCCGAAGCCGACTTACCACATCGGCCGTTTGTATCTCATCACAACCCTAGTGCTCCAACTTACGCGCCTCTGGAGAAAGTGTACAGCGACATCCTGTACAATCGCGAACCTGGACAAGGAGCATACAGCTACACCATCACGTTCATCGACGGCGCCACTCGCTATGTCTGGCATCTCAACCTTCTAAGCCGCGACATGGCCTTCGAAGCCTTCGTTGCCTGGCTCCCAGTAGCAGAACGGGAATCGGGAGTTAAGCTAAAGAGCTTCCAGTCTGATAGGGGAGGAGAATAGACCTCACAGAGGTTCAAGAAGTACTTGGCAGAGAGAGGAATCAAGCGGCTCATCTCCCTTCCCTACGCCCACCAACAGCAAGGCGTAGCAGAAAGGATGAACAGGACTCTCCAGAACACCATGCGCAAGCTGCTACGTGGCATGCGGCTACCCAATCACCAATGGCCCGAAGCAATGGACCATGCTGTCATGCTGCACAACTTGCTCTCGTCATCATCGCTCCCGAACAACGTATCACCGCACTTGCTGTGGACAGGAAAACAGGGCAGCACAAAAATGTTGAGAGTTTTCGGCTGCATGGTACAGTACCGACCCCCATCTGCACGAGCCGGCCCATTCTCCCAACGCACACAGTGGGGTCTACACCTGGGCATTGAAAAGAATTACAACGCGTGGAAGATTTTCGACGTCCACTCAAAGGAAACAGTAGCAGCACGTGATGTCATTTTCTACGAGCGACTCACACTTCCGACGTACCTTGCCAACCTGGAAGACGACCAGGACCCCACAGGTGGTTTTCATGGTGACCGAGCCTTCGCCTCGGCAGCAGACGAAGCTGACTGGGACGAGTAGAACGTGGATGAAGCCTCGGAGGAAGCCGGACCTCTCCCTTACTGCTCTGTCGACGTCCTAATGGATGACGAAAATCCTCGCGAAAGCGTCAACGCCGAAGTATATTACCACTTCGCCGACAACCGTTACGTTACACCTGCAAGAGTCAACACCAACGAAGCAGAACGCATAGGGCCCAATTTCATACCTGACCCAGAAGCGGGAGACGAAGCAGCTTATCCCGAGGACACGACACTTCCCCGCTACACACAGAGTGGCCTCCAGATACTCGACCTCGTCACCGCGGTCCATGGCACAGCGATTCCTAAGGAGCCTGCCACAGTTCAGCAGGCTCTGGGGGGGGAGCATAAGGAAAAATGGCGCGAAGCCATGGACAGGGAGCTGAAAGCGCTGGAAGAACGGAACACCTGGAAAGTCGTCCCCATCGGCGTGGCACGCAACAAAACGGTACTCACCGGAAAATGGGTCTTCCGTGTGAAAACAAAGGCAGACGGCACCATCGACAAGTTTAAGGCGCGCTGGGTCGTGCGCGGCTTCGACCAAGAGCACGGACGCGACTTCACCGAAACATTCGCTCCGGTCAGCCGACATACCTCATTGCGAATTCTCCTCGCGATAGCCGCCATGAAGAAGAAGAAGTTGCGGCAAATCGACGTCGCTAATGCATTTCTCTATGCACCTGTTGACGCCGAAATCTTCGTCGAACTACCACACGGATCAAACGGAGAGCCCAACCAAGTCTGTCAGCTGCTAAAGTCCATGTACGGCATCAAGCAGGCTCCGAGACTGTGGCAGCAGTATCTACACGGTCGACTCATCCGCATCGGATTCCTCCAGCTACCACACGACCAAGGCATGTATCGGTTCACAAAGGGCACCGACTACATCCTGCTTATCGTCTACGTGGACGATCTCCTCTACATTGGCTCGACTGACGACATTACGACCTGGTTCGAAAGGGAACTGCAGCAGGACCTCACGCTCACGGTTTCATCTACAGTAACGCAATACCTCGGCCTCAATATTCAGGAGGAAGAAAATGCAGTCTACCTCAGCGCCGCGAAATACGCCGACACCATCGCCAAACGCTTCGGACTCACCCCGACTGCCATCTCCACACCATATTGCTACACCGTCGGAAATCACAAAGAAGTCTCCGCTCTACTCAAACCTGCTGGCATACGCGACTACCAACGAAAACTAGGATGTCTGCTCTTCGCAGCCGTCACCTGCCGACCAGATCTCTCGTACTCCGCAAGCCAACTCGCTACCTACCTCAAGAAACCCGAAGCAGAGCACATGGCGGAGCTCGACCGCGCACTAGACTACCTCGCCAGCACCCCGACGATCGGACTAACTTACTATAAAACCGGAACTACGGCGCCTAAACTAATCGGCTACGTCGACGCTGATCACGCCGGCGACTCTGACAACAGACGCTCGCGCACCGGCTATATCTACCGACTCAAGCCTATCGGGCCCATCTCATAGCAGTCGAGCAAGCAGGAACTAATTGCTCTCTCCTCAGCAGCAGAATATATTGCACTCTGCTCAGCCACCAAGGAAGGACTTTACCTTCGCGAACTGCTGGAAGAGGCGAAGCTGGCCCAGTTACCCAACTTCTCTCTGTTCTGCGACAACTAGTCTGCAATCCACATAGCCAACAAGAATGGATTTGCGAACAGAACAAAGCATATCGCTCTGCGATATTTCTTCGTGAAGGACGAGATCGAGAAGGGGAGACTCGAGCTGTCTTACTGCCCCACGTCTGAGATGGCAGCTGATTACTTGACCAAGAAGCTCGGAAAGCAGAAGTTCGAGTACTGCATGCTGCTGACTGGACAGAGCCACGTCACTAGCAGCGACACTCCAGAAGCGAAGGGGAGTGTTGGAAACAAGTAATTTGAACGCTTCTGTTGTGTGTGTCGAAACACTAAGTCGTAAACGAGGCGAAGCACATCGAAGCATCGGCGAGTCAACACTTGGAGGTTGAGAAGTGAAGAAACCGCTGGAGGTTACGCGAAAGTCAAAGGTCAGCGACCTTTGACCTGACAAGTACAGCGCGACAGCAAGGACAAACAACTGACTCGCTATTGAGCAGTTGCCCGAATCGTCACTGTATCGAACCGCAACAGCAACAGTAAAACGGTTATTAGTTGCATCCTTTCATATTCCTTGTACTCTTATAAAAGCCTTGTATCTCTTTGATTAATCAATCTACTTTTGCCCTCACATACCAGCGCAAGGTGGTTCAAGACTTATCATTATACGCTTCCGCATTTACAACAAGTCCTACCCAGAGTTTAGCCTTGCAAAGATCCTAAGGGCTTTTCTCATCCCAACACTGACCATATCTTTTTCACGTTTGTTTGTTTGATTTTTTGTTTGTTTGTTTGTTTGTTTTTTTGTTTGTTTGTTTGTTTGTTTGTTTGTTTGTTTGTTTGTTTGTATGCTTGTTTGTTTGTTGCTGTGTGTCATTCGTAGATTATCTGTTAACGAGGTCCTGCCCACTTCATCGAACCGTCACTTCCAATTATAGTTGCTTGCTCTACTCACGCTTCGATAATTGTCTGAGGACGCGTCGCGTGGGACGATCGATCGTCCTAAGTCGATCCCCCACCGTGCTGTAAGCACGCTTCGTGCATTCAAAACCTTCAGAACCTTTTCAATCCCCGCTATGAAATCGTCCCGCGCCGCGCAGGATCGATCCTGTCAATGTCACATCACCACGTGACGCGTCAGGGATTTTCGGTGTTTTCAAGTGAGCTGTTAGCTTCTGTTCATATTTACATCGCTGCGGAAATTGTTCCTGCTTACATTGCTGTAGCTAAATCGAATTCCTTTACTCCATCAACTTCTCCGCTCGGCGCCCCTAGGCTCCGCCTTGACGTCCGTCGAGAATATTGGAGGTTCGCCGTGACAGTGCCTTCTCTGTGAGACACGTCCCCCTGCTATTCTATGGCTCTGTCCTTTGATTTGTTCGCCGCATTTGTCTGATTTGTCCGCTTGCACGACCTTATCGCTCAGCCGTGTATTTCGCACACACTCTTTCACCTTCGGTCTCTCGCCCCATTCCGCTCCCTCGCAGGTTGCGCTTCTAGATGACACCATCTCGTTTTTCTCTACCTTCCATTCCCTCGCTTCGCTCTCTGTCTTCAGCCACCACTCTGTCTCTCGCTCACTACTACCCTTACGCTCGCACGCGCGCTGCTGTTTTGCCCTCTATCTCTCTGCGCATCGCTCCCTCGCTCGCTGTCATTGCGTTCTCCAGCGCGCTGGTTTGACTTCCGCACCTCGCTGCCCTTACGCCCGCACACTCACTGCCCTTGCGCACGCGTGCTCCCTGCTCTCACGCTCCCACGCGTTCAACTAGTCGCATCTCGGTGACTGCTCCTCATCAACCCCTTTCGTTGCCAATTTCATCTCAATATTTTCCCACCTCTCCTCGTACCCTCACAACAGTTCCTGCTCCTGCGCCCTACTTCCATTAACGTCACACTCACTCATCCCCGGCCTACGCGCCATGGGTCTCTCGAGGCAGCTCTCGGTTCTCGCCGCCGTCTGCACGCTCGCATGGCTGCTGGCGTCGGCTACCGCGCGGCCCAGCAAGGAGGATCTGATCAACGAGGTGAAGGCGGCCAAGGAAGCGATCAACGACCCCAAGATGAACGGCCGATACAAGAGCAGCGTCACATTCTTGGACCATCTCGTCCCAATCATGGGTAAATCATGCTACTTGCGTGCATTAGTGCATGTCCTGCATGTCCCGATTCTGGGGAAATCGTTGCTACTACTTCCACGCAGTTGCGTGCCATGCGGACTTTCACTTACAATTGTTATAACTATCACTGTTTTCCTCTCCCAATTTGTCAAAAGGACCATGTGCCGTCTCCGTTATCACTCACGTTCGGGAAACCGTTGTATCCACATCAATCCTTTCCATTTTCTGTGACGCAGAGACGGACTGGAACCCACCGGACGCGTACCTCGCCAACACCGAAGGGAAAACCGTCCTTCTGCCCGACGATACGGCCATCGCTTCCGCGGCGCCTGACGCGGTTACCACGTTCACGAAATCCAAGTTCAAGCGCGGCGACGTCACCCCGTACGGGAACTGGATTCGCGCGAACATTCTGGACGGAGTGTACGAGGAGGACGACCTGAAGACCGCCAAAGGGCTGAAGAACGCGAATGGTCGCAGCGTGGGTACGGAAGAGGTTTTGGACAGCAAGAGTGGGCGGAAGAAGGTGACAATCGGAAAGGGCAAGGCTAAGATCAAGGAACAGGCGATTTTCAGAGGGAAGCTGTTTATCATCCATGGCGTGGATGCGGTGCAGCCGAGGGAGTAGAGTTTGAGAGTAGACTGTTGTGGTTGCTATTTCGAATAAGCTGTTTGCCCTTGTTTGTGCCACCTTGCAACCGCGTTAGAGGTTGATTTTGGCTAGGCAGTTCATGCACAAAGCTTGAGGGCAGATATGCAGCAGAGAGCAGCTCTGGATCAGTCTTTTTGCCATCCATATGCTGTCCAGCCAATCGATAGTACACTCAAGATTGTGAAATCCCAACAGCAATCTGCTGTCATTGGCAACAGCTTACAGGAGTTGCATGCACAGAGATTCAACGAAACCCTCCACCACAAAATAAGAGCAGCATATGCCATGGTCCCGTGCACTACCATTACCTTCTCACCCACCCAACTCAACTCAAAACTGCCTCAATTGTAACAGGCAACGAGTCTAACTCTGCCCGACAATCGTCCCCTGGAGAGACAAGACAACACGGCCTACAGCATGCCCATCACAACACAAGCCTACTGCACGCCTAAAGGTCTGCACGACAGCAAGTTGACGTGCAAGGCCCTAACGTATTCCCCACTGGACAGCACCTACTTGCACGGGGGGCGGAAGATGAGCGCGTGTGTGCTCACACTGTGCCACGTTAGGTGCCCTTGGAGAGACAAGATGACTCGCGCTACAGCAGGCCTACACGCCTACCACACGCCCCAAGGTCTACTCATACTGTTGCCTAGAAGTCATCATCCCCGCGTGACAGCACCTCCTTGCACGTGGGGCGCAGGATGAGTGTGTGCTCAAACTGAGCCACGTAGCTGCCCTTGGTCTCACACAATGGCGGGTGCGGCTGCACGGGTGGGGGGTGGGGAGTGTGGGATGGGGGACGGGTGGGACGGGGAAAGAGCAAGGCAAGGGCAAACGAGGCTCCCGTCGTCCATCTTTGTACCCTCTTCATACCCGCGTGAATGAAGTCCACCGGTCACAGTGTTTGGCCTAAACCGAGGCGCCATTATTTCTGAACACCCACCTACTCCCACCCACCTGCACCGCACTGCACCTGGCTACTGCAGGCACGCACCCACCTGCACCAACGTGCACCCACCTGCACCACTCCCGCATCAGAGGTTCTTGGCGCCATAAGGTACTTGGTCTCGCCCAGCCTTTTGAATCATTTCAATGCTCAAGAGAGGTGCCCACCCATGTACACCCACCTGCACTGCACCCGCACCCATCTATTTACCGCAGGCACCCACCTGCACCACTCCAGCATCGCAGAGGTTCTTGAGCGCCATGAGGTACTTGGTCTCGCCCACGCGGTCCAGATAGCGCCGGCAGAACGCGAGCGTGCCAAAGTTGCGATCTATTGTGGCCAATAGCTGCTTGGCACGTGGCAGCCTGGGGAGAAGGCAATGAAGAGGGTGGGGAACGGGATGGGGAAGGGGAACGAGGAAGAGGGGAGGCGGAAAGGGGGAAGATGGTGAGGAGTGGGGTGAAGGGGGAAAGGGGGGGGGGGGGATGAAGTATTAAGGGGCTGATAGCTGTTCAAGTGGTAAAGCATAGTAGAGAAGCGAATATGAAGACAGAAAGGTGGAAAACGAGGCACTTTGAGGAGGGGCGGAGACGGATGGATGCAACGTGTAGAGCGGAAGGATGCATGCAATGTTCAGACATTTCTCAGTGAGCTGCACGCGTGTAGTAGGCTTAAGCAAAAGAACAACAACGGCAAAATCCACTCCATGTAAAATCAAGTGCTTAAAGAGATCTCAAACCCAAATTCTTAGCAGTAGAGTAAAACAGGGACAAGCAACCCTGGAAGGTTGAAAGAGTTGGCGCTAAGCAAGCTCCCCCAGCTAGCACAAGTAGCGAGATCGCTGTCCCGTTTCCTCGAGATTCTCTCCCTGGGAAGCTTTTGGTGGCTCACTCTTCTACTGGAAATCAATGCACTGCCAAGGCTAAGGGAATTGAACTTAGTCAGTGTAGGGCTCATTCGTGGTCTGGCCGTTGGCATGAATCTACCTGGTATGGAGCACTTGGTCGTGGAGGCAAAAGAGTTCTTATTGCCTTTGGGATCCTTCTCTAACTTTCGCAACTTGAAAACCAAAGGAGCCGGTCGCATGAAGAAGCTTCCGGAAGGGGTTGGTTTGACTGGCTCCTTTGATTATCTAGCTGCGAAAGTTAGGGAAGGATCCCAAAGGCAATAAGAACTCTTTTGCCTCCATGATCAGCCACAGCTTTAAGTGCTCCAGACCAGGCAGAGGCATGCCAACGGCCAGACCACGCACGAGCCCTACACCGACTATGTTCAACTCCCTCAGTCTTGACAGTGCACTGAATTCAAGCAGAGGAGTGAGCCGCCGGAAGCTTCCCTGGAAGAGAACCTCGAGGAAACGGGGCAAAATCTTCCTACTTGTGCTACTTGGGGAGTTTGCTTAGCGCCAACTCTCTCAACCTTTCAAGGTTGCTCAAGCTCGTGGGAATGGATGGATACAACGTGTAGAGCGGAAGGATGGATGCAACGTGTAGAGCGGAAGGATGGAGGCAACGTGCAGAGCGGAAGGATGGAGGCAACGATAAAGAAAAAAGGATCAGGATGGACGGACGGAAGGAAGGAAGGAAGGAAGGAAGGAAGGAAGGAAGGAAGGAAGGAAGGAAGGAAGGAAGGAAGGAAGGAAGGAAGGAAGGAAGGAAGGAAGGAAGGAAGGAAGGAAGGAAGGAAGGAAGGAAGGAAGGATAGACGAATGGAGGGAGAAATGGCAAGTTGGTTTGTTAGGCTGCAGTCACCTTAGAGGGACGTGCCCCACGTCAAAGTTCTGCCAACCACATTCGTGCCAGCACACGAGGCCACATGGAGATATGGAAGCATGGGATGGGACACACACAAAATCATGAAGACAGGAAAGTAAACCAAAGTACACGTGGCAGAAACGAGCAGAGGCAGAACAAAATGCAACGATTTCATCAGGCAAGAGAAACGAATTAGCAACGCAAACAGGACGGCAGCACGTGCAGCAACACTAATGCCGCCCATTAAACAGGCAAGGAACGCCAGTGCACTATGTGCCATGCCCCACCTTCATGCAGTGAGAGCACTCGAGGTCCTCACGCACGTAGCCCCACACCACCCGCCTGTGTGGCTTGCTTTATCCCCAACCCATGCCCTTTGTCACCTCATGCCCTGCTCAACGTCACCTTTCAACCCATGCACCACACGTAGCCCCACCTTCATGTAGTGCGAGCATTCGAGGTCCTCGCGCACGTAGCCCTTGCCGGTGGACCCAAACGTCTCGATGGCAAACAGCTCCCCCTCCTCCATGCGCGTCGCCTCCCCGCCCTTCACGATCGGCACACTCTTCCCCGCGTGGATCTGGTACGGCCCTATGCTGTGCCCGTTCAGGTTGCGAATCGCTTTCACTGCATGGATGAGGAGGGGGAGAGGGGGGTGGGGAGGTGCGGAGGGGGTGGGAAGGGGAGGGGGGGGAGGGGGGGAAGAAGGGGAGGGGATGTTGAGACGTCTGAGCAGTCGGCACACTCTTCCCCGCGTGGATCTCATACGGCCCGATGCTGTGCCCGTTCAGATTGCAGATTGCCTTCACTGCAGGGAAGAAAGGGTGGTTGGAAGAGCAGACGGAGGGGGAGGGAGGGGGGGGCGGGGGGTTGCTAGAAGGGGGCAGTGAGGGAGAAGTAGGGAGTGGGTGAGACATGAGAGGGGAAAGAGGTGTATGGAGGAATGGAAGAGCGAGCACGGTGTGCCTCATACCCACATGCATCATGAGGCAGTGACAGGGGGTGGCCTTCCACACGACTCAATGGCCTCCTGAATGGCACACACAGGAGTGTCTCTTGATTGACTGCACCCCACGTCGCACACCAGAGCCCAGCAACAGGTGCATTCAAGCGACACTGTACAGACAGACAACAGAAGCAGGAGAAGTCAGTGCTGCTGCAAGGCAGGGAAGGACACGAGCGTGGCTGAGCTCACCAGGGAAGGTCTTGCCATTGATGGTGACCTCATACGACTCCATGACCTCCTGAATGGCGCACCCCACGTCGCACAGGCGCACGTCGATGCCGCACTCGCGCACTCCCGTGTTGGTGGCGTCTTTGACCGCTGCCAGCAATTGATCGTACTGCGGGTTGAACGCCACTGTGAAGGCACAATCCACTATGCGCCCTGGGGGATGCAGGGACGGGAAAGGGAGGGGAGGGAGGGGGAGGGAGGGGAGGGAAGGGGGGGGGGGAGGGGAGGGATGGGGGAGGGAGGGCAAGGCGCACATCGATGCCGCACTTGCGCACGCCCGTGTTGGTGGCGTCCTTGACCGCTGCCAGCAATTGATCGTACTGCGGGTTGAACGCCACTGTGAACGCACAATCCACTATGCGCCCTGGGGGGAGGGAAGGGGGAGGGCGGGGAGGGGCAACAGAGAGAACGGATAGAGCAAGCAACGGGAGGTGAGAGAAGTGGAAGCAACCAAAATTAGGTAAGATTGGGCTGTGGAGCGCCTCAAAAGCGCCTCAAAAGGGTGATGGGCATAGTGCACCCTATGCATTGGGTCGGGGGGGGGGGGGGGGAATGGGAGGAAAGGCGGAGGAAGGGGAAATAGCTGTGTTGTGTGTGGGGAAAAAGGGGACAAGCGGAGGAAGGGTGAGGAGCACTTGAGGAAGCAAGCGTTGGCAGACCATGGCTTGGGTGTGGGGGGTTGTCAGGCACGGTGGACGGTAGGATGGAGGGGTTGGAGGGAGAGGGAAGGGAGAGCAATTAAGCAGTGGAGTGCAAGCTTTTGATCAGTGAGAGAGAATGGAGAGGAATGAAGTGAATGAGGCGCTGCGCTGCCACCGCTGCACGCATTTGTCAACATACCTTCTCTATCTTAGCAAGGCCAATTCCTTAATCCCACCCCTCACCTCATCTGCGCTTCCATTGCACATACCGAGTCCATTCAAAAGTTAACCATTGAAGTGCCTATGGGTCGATGCACGGGTTTAGGGTTTACCATTGATGTGCGTGCCAAAGTCGAGCTTCATGACGTCATCATACTGCAGTACTGTCTTGTCTCCTGCATTGGGCGTCCAATGGGCTGCCACCCTGGCATGGATGGAGATGACAGATGCACATGGACACAAAACACACGCACACATGCATAAATGCACACGCAAAAAACACACGCACACATGCATAAATGCACACGCACAAAACACACGCACACATGCATAAATGCACACGCACAAAACATACACACACATGCATAAATGCACACGCACAAAACACACGCACACATGCATAAATGCACACGCACAAAACACACGCACACATGCACACATGCATAAATGCACACGCACAAAACACACGCACACACGCACACATCCATAAATGCACACGCACAAAACACACGCACACACGCACACATGCATAAATGCACACGCACAAAACACACGCACACACGCACACATGCATAAATGCACACGCACAAAACACACGCACACATGCATAAATGCACACGCACAAAACACACGCACACATGCATAAATGCACACGCACAAAACACACGCACACATGCATAAGTGCACACGCACAAAACACACGCACACATGCATAAATGCACACGCACAAAACACACGCACACATGCATAAATGCACACGCACAAAACACACGCACACATGCATAAATGCACACGCACAAAACACACGCACACATGCATAAATGCACACGCACAAAACACACGCACACATGCATAAATGCACACGCACAAAACACACGCACACATGCATAAATGCACACGCACAAAACACACGCACACACGCACACATGCATAAATGCACACGCACAAAACACACGCACACATGCATAAATGCACACGCACAAAACACACGCACACATGCATAAATGCACACGCACAAAACACACGCACACATGCATAAATGCACACGCACAAAACACACGCACACATGCATAAATGCACACGCACAAAACACACGCACACATGCATAAATGCACACGCACAAAACACACGCACACATGCATAAATGCACACGCACAAAACACACGCACACATGCATAAGTGCACACGCACAAAACACACGCACACACGCACACATGCATAAATGCACACGCACAAAACACACACACACATGCATAAATGCACACGCACAAAACACACGCACACATGCATAAGTGCACACGCACAAAACACACGCACACATGCATAAGTGCACACGCACAAAACACACGCACACATGCATAAATGCACACGCACAAAACACACGCACACATGCATAAGTGCACACGCACAAAACACACGCACACATGCATAAATGCACACGCACAAAACACACGCACACATGCATAAATGCACACGCACAAAACACACGCACACATGCATAAATGCACACGCAAAAAACACACGCACACATGCATAAATGCACACGCACAAAACACACGCACACATGCATAAATGCACACGCACAAAACATACACACACATGCATAAATGCACACGCACAAAACACACGCACACATGCATAAATGCACACGCACAAAACACACGCACACATGCACACATGCATAAATGCACACGCACAAAACACACGCACACACGCACACATGCATAAATGCACACGCACAAAACACACGCACACACGCACACATGCATAAATGCACACGCACAAAACACACGCACACACGCACACATGCATAAATGCACACGCACAAAACACACGCACACATGCATAAATGCACACGCACAAAACACACGCACACATGCATAAATGCACACGCACAAAACACACGCACACATGCATAAGTGCACACGCACAAAACACACGCACACATGCATAAATGCACACGCACAAAACACATGCACACATGCATAAATGCACACGCACAAAACACACGCACACATGCATAAATGCACACGCACAAAACACACGCACACATGCATAAATGCACACGCACAAAACACACGCACACATGCATAAATGCACACGCACAAAACACACGCACACATGCATAAGTGCACACGCACAAAACACACGCACACACGCACACATGCATAAATGCACACGCACAAAACACACGCACACATGCATAAATGCACACGCACAAAACACACGCACACATGCATAAATGCACACGCACAAACCACACGCACACATGCATAAATGCACACGCATAAAACATACGCACACATGCATAAATGCACACGCACAAAACACACGCACACATGCATAAATGCACACGCACAAAACACACGCACACATGCATAAATGCACACGCACAAAACATACGCACACATGCATAAATGCACACGCACAAAACACACGCACACATGCATAAATGCACACGCACAAAACACACGCACACATGCATAAATGCACACGCACAAAACACACGCACACATGCATAAATGCACACGCACAAAACACACGCACACATGCATAAATGCACACGCACAAAACACACGCACACATGCATAAATGCACACGCACAAAACACACGCACACATGCATAAATGCACACGCACAAAACACACGCACACATGCATAAATGCACACGCACAAAACATACGCACACATGCATAAATGCACACGCACAAAACACACGCACACATGCATAAATGCACACGCACAAAACACACGCACACATGCATAAATGCACACGCACAAAACACACGCACACATGCATAAGTGCACACGCACAAAACACACGCACACATGCATAAATGCACACGCACAAAACACACGCACACATGCATAAATGCACACGCACAAAACACACGCACACATGCATAAATGCACACGCACAAAACACACGCACACATGCATAAATGCACACGCACAAAACACACGCACACATGCATAAGTGCACACGCACAAAACACACGCACACACGCACACATGCATAAATGCACACGCACAAAACACACGCACACATGCATAAATGCACACGCACAAAACACACGCAAACATGCATAAATGCACACGCACAAAACACACGCACACATGCATAAATGCACACGCACAAAACACACGCACACATGCATAAATGCACACGCACAAAACACACGCACACATGCATAAATGCACACGCACAAAACACACGCACACATGCATAAATGCACACGCACAAAACACACGCACACATGCATAAATGCACACGCACAAAACACACGCACACATGCACACATGCATAAATGCACACGCACAAAACACACGCACACACGCACACATGCATAAATGCACACGCACAAAACACACGCACACACGCACACATGCATAAATGCACACGCACAAAACACACGCACACATGCATAAATGCACACGCACAAAACACACGCACACATGCATAAATGCACACGCACAAAACACACGCACACATGCATAAGTGCACACGCACAAAACACACGCACACACGCACACATGCATAAATGCACGCGCACAAAACACACGCACACATGCATAAATGCACACGCACAAAACACACGCACACATGCATAAATGCACACGCACAAAACACACGCACACATGCATAAATGCACACGCAAAAAACACACGCACACATGCATAAATGCACACGCACAAAACACACGCACACATGCATAAATGCACACGCACAAAACATACACACACATGCATAAATGCACACGCACAAAACACACGCACACATGCATAAATGCACACGCACAAAACACACGCACACATGCACACATGCATAAATGCACACGCACAAAACACACGCACACACGCACACATGCATAAATGCACACGCACAAAACACACGCACACACGCACACATGCATAAATGCACACGCACAAAACACATGCACACATGCATAAATGCACACGCACAAAACACACGCACACATGCATAAATGCACACGCACAAAACACACGCACACATGCATAAATGCACACGCACAAAACACACGCACACATGCATAAGTGCACACGCACAAAACACACGCACACATGCATAAATGCACACGCACAAAACATACGCACACATGCATAAATGCACACGCACAAAACACACGCACACATGCATAAATGCACACGCACAAAACACACGCACACATGCATAAATGCACACGCACAAAACACACGCACACATGCATAAATGCACACGCACAAAACACACGCACACATGCATAAGTGCACACGCACAAAACACACGCACACACGCACACATGCATAAATGCACACGCACAAAACACACGCACACATGCATAAATGCACACGCACAAAACACACGCACACATGCATAAATGCACACGCACAAAACACACGCACACATGCATAAATGCACACGCATAAAACATACGCACACATGCATAAATGCACACGCACAAAACACACGCACACATGCATAAATGCACACGCACAAAACACACGCACACATGCATAAATGCACACGCACAAAACATACGCACACATGCATAAATGCACACGCACAAAACACACGCACACATGCATAAATGCACACGCACAAAACACACGCACACATGCATAAATGCACACGCACAAAACACACGCACACATGCATAAATGCACACGCACAAAACATACGCACACATGCATAAATGCACACGCACAAAACACACGCACACATGCATAAATGCACACGCACAAAACACACGCACACATGCATAAATGCACACGCACAAAACACACGCACACATGCATAAATGCACACGCACAAAACACACGCACACATGCATAAATGCACACGCACAAAACATACGCACACATGCATAAATGCACACGCACAAAACACACGCACACATGCATAAATGCACACGCACAAAACACACGCACACATGCATAAATGCACACGCACAAAACACACGCACACATGCATAAGTGCACACGCACAAAACACACGCACACATGCATAAATGCACACGCACAAAACACACGCACATATGCATAAATGCACACGCACAAAACACACGCACACATGCACACATGCACACGCACAAAACACACGCACACATGCATAAATGCACACGCACAAAACACACGCACACATGCATAAATGCACACGCACAAAACACACGCACACATGCATAAATGCACACGCACAAAACACAC